TGGGGCAATCTACTTCCGTAGTGATACTGCCTCAGAAACCCAAGGAGGGGTCGCTATGAGTTGGGTCCGACTTGACGGCACATAACAACAACAAGAAGTTTTCATGTAAAGCTCAAAACAACTTTGTGAAATCAGATTACTATTCCCATTTTATGGATGAGGATACATTAATGGTAAAACTGATATTCGAACCTGTATTTTCTTATTTCAATTACCTTTTCCTCTCAGTACAGACTTGCTTTAACCATTTCCAAATGACTGAAAGTAAGTACTCTGCTGCTGTGGAAAACAGACTTTTTTCTACTCTGAAAAGAAAAGACTATCTGTTTTGGTTACAGTTAAAACATAATCATTATTTTTGTTGTATTCCTGTTGTTGGAGAAAAAGTTTTATTATGGCGTAGCTATGGCATATGTACAGAATGCCGGAATTGTTTAAAAATTTAGCTTCGTGTTTTGACCTAGGAGATTTAGGCAAACTGGCTGATGAGTCCTTGAAAACAAAAGACCCAGGATGCCTGTCTGAAGTTGAAACAGGTTTGGTCTTCTTTGTAGAGGCACTGCCTCATGCCAACAAAAGCCTTGAGGTATTCAGAAGCCTGTAAAGAAGGAACTTATATTTGCCTTGGATGTGGCACAGGTAAGAACAGCAGTTTTGTTGTGATTTTTAGAGTCAAAGCAAAGCCCAGAGGTGAGGATCTGGGCAAGTACACACCGGGAAGCTGTAGTTCAGGGCAGGACATAGGGATGAGCTACTCTGAAGGAGATGAGAGGACAGGACATATTTGGATGTGTTATAAAGGAAGGCATCACATGGCTTGGCAATAGCATATATCTTAAGGGTGGGAAACTTGGGGTGACTGTAAGATAATGCCATGGTTCTTGGTGCATATCTGCTTTCAATTATGCTGATTTTGTGCACAGAATTATTCACAGCATCTAAGTATCAAAATCTATGCAGTTGTCTTCAATCTCAAAGAACAGAATCTTGAGCCAGCTCCTGTTTTCCATTTCTAAAGGAATGAAAATACATTTGGCCTCCATTTGTGCAGGTCACCCAGATGTAGCAAAAGTCTATGAATCATGTAATTGCTCAGCATATGGCAAATATATGCTAAGAATCTCAAAACAACAACAGAGCTCTACACATGCAGCAAAAGAAAGAGTGAGCAAAGAAAGCGTGCAACCTTGGCATGTGACCTTGAATACGAGAGTGAAATGAAGGTATGTTTCTCTGCTGTGATTGTTCCATGTACCTATCAAACGTGAAAAAGTACAGAATTTAAAACACCCAGCGGTGACTCTTGTAAGGTCATTGAAAAAGGTGTTTACATATACAATTATCTATGTTAACTGATATGAAAATTGCAACAGAATCCACAGCAAAAGAGTGAATTACAAGCACAAGGGAGATTTCCTCCAGATTGAATTTTCAGCCCAAAGGCTATATTCCTAAACTCCCAGTGCAGCTAATTCCAATGAATACATTTCTTTAGAAACCATTTTTCCACACACTGTGCTCTGGTAACTCATGTGAAAGATTGGTTTAAAAACCAAAAAAAAAAAAAAAAAAAAAGTATGAGGAAAATAGACATTCCTATGAGAAATAAATAGAAGGGAAAATTTTCCTCTTTTGACATCAATTCACCACTTTCATGTTTTTAAGAAGTATATTTTTCTTTCCAATAAAATTTTTTAGTAAAATATTCAGAACATATATATTTATAGTTTATAGAATTTAAAGGGGAGACAGGGACCTAGTCAGTGGTTACACTGTGGTGGCCTCTCCTCTGTAATTTCAACTTTATGTGATCATTCATCTTGTACTCATCCATGCCTGATAGTCATAACCATCACTGAATTGTTCTGAGCTCAAATCTATAATCTCTCATCTTTTACCATTGGACCTTATGTTCGAAATAAGTCAAATTCACCTTCATGATAGCCCTTTATATATTTGAAAAGTTATCTTGTTCTACTTAACCACTTGAATTTTCTTTCCTTCAAAACAAACAAAACCAAACAACAAAAAAAAAAAATCTAGTTTCTTCAACAGTCTTCTGAAGATAAGAATCTGAGACCTTTCATTCTTTTGTGGTTTTTTCAGAATGCATTCCAATTTTATACTTCACTTTTAAAATGCATTGCTGAAAATTGCCACAATGTATAATTTACTTCTATTATGGCAAATGAAGATCAAATTGTGAGCCCTTAGGTGTCACAAATGGTTAAGTGCTGAACTGCTAGCTTGAAAGTTGGTGGTATGAAACCACCCAGAGGTGTTTCAAAAGATAGGCCTTGAAATCTACTTCCAAAAGATCACAGCCTTAACCTTATGAAGCAGTTCTGCTCTGCCAACATGGAGCCACCATGAGTCAGAATCAGCGTGACAGCAACTAACAACAGCAACAAGATCAAATTAGATAGTTTAGTCATCATATCACATTGTTGACTTTTAGTAAATTAAGTATTTGTTAAGCTACAATCTTTGTTGATAGATGGTACAAATCATTAACACACTTGGCAGCTAACTGAAAGTTTGGACATTTCAGTTAACTAGAGCAAGAAAGACAGCGCATGGGTGGTTCAGTGGTAGAATTCTTGCCTGCCACGCTGGAGGCCTGGGTTTGATTCCGGGCCCATGCAAACCATTTGTTCTGGAGCTCTGGTAGCATAGTTCCTAAGGCACTGGACTGCTAACCAGAAGGCTGGCTGTTCAAACCCACCAGCCACTCCTCAAAAGGAAGGTTGGGCTATCTACTTCAGTAGTGATACTGCCTCAGAAAGCCAAGGAGGGTCACTATGAGTCGGGCCCAACTTGACAGTACATAACAACAATATAACAGAGGAAGAAAGTATTGGCCATCTACTTCCAACATTTTAGCCATTGAAAACTCTTTGGAGCACAGTTGATTCTGATATACATGGGGTTGCCATGAGTTGGAAATGACTCAACAACTGAAATAAGACGCATACCTACCATTCTGTACTTGATTTTTTTTTCCCCACCAGTAAGGGTAAGCCAGCTTTTCATTTCCCCTCTGATAGTGAGTAGTCCATGATTTTCCATTTACCTCATAAATATTATGGGATACAATGCTAAATAATTTTTCTAGTCCAGCAAAATTACGTATATCACAACATTTCTGTCTAATATGGAAAGACACAGAAGGTAGGTCTGACATGTATTGTTTTCAGTTATGTGGCTAGGTCCATTTGATCACTCTTTCCTACTGGAATTTCTCAAAATTCAACCAGTGTCTAAAATCAATGTCAAACTCGCTAGTGTTTTGAGAAGACATATAAGATAATACAATATGTTGACAACTTTTCCTACTGACAATCAACATAGCATTTACCTATCTCTAATCTTCATATAAATTCCTAAAAAATAATTGTTAATTATTCATCTATTTTTTTTTTACCTTCCCAAGAAATGGAGGAAATTTTCTTCTTTCCAAATCTAAATCTCTGTAGGAATCTGATGGCACACTCAAGTCATGTATTTCAGAGTTTTTTTTTTTTTTTTAAAGTGTTGGGTAGGGTTGAAGAAATCAACAAACAGGTATAGTATTCCATTAAAGTGGGGAGCCATTATTCCATCTAGGCATACATGACAGAAGAAGGAAGTATTTCTAGAACCTGGAGAAGAAAGTGAATGAAGAAGGCCAACTGACAGGAATTGTGGCATCTAGAAAAAGGAAACAGACAATCACAGTAACCCAGCAGAGAGGAAGTTGGGGCAATTAATATCTCAATCTTTCTCTTATCTTTTTTCTTTTTTTTTTTTCTTTTTCATATCCTGCTAGGGCCACTCACTCAAACCCACCATCTGCTCCAAGGAAGAAAGATGAGGCAGTCTGCTACCATAAAGATTTATAACAATGGAAACCAAATGGGGGTCGCTATGAGTCAGAATTGACTCAATGGCAGTGAGTTTGATTTTTGGTTTAGGGTCATTTATTGGCTGAAATCCATCAGAAACCAGAGGGCAAGATGGCCTGTTGTTGCTGTCTACATGAGTTAACCTCTTAGGGCACACAGTAGGGTACAAGATGAAGAGTGAAGCCAGAGAAAGAAACAAAAGATATCTGACTGTCCTTCATATTCAGTAAGAGGCCTAATAAATCAGATGAGTTAAATAGCCTTTCTTATCATCATAATTTACTTTTTATTCTAAGAGCTCATCATTTCAATTTCACGAAAATAGTTATTATCAACCATGTATCCTCTGTCATGTAAAGTCCCAACAATTAGTACAAAGAAATAATACAAAAAAGCCCTGTACTTGCAAAATTCTTTCATAATACTTCTTAATACTTCAAAGCCTCCAAATAACTTTGTAAAATTTGACTGGGGACACAAAATGGAGTGTGAAATACTTAGGCAATTTAATAAATTTCAGCAGCAAATGTATCTTAATATAATGGATATATCTTCTAGAAAAGTAGTTGCATCTGAATTAGCTATACAAGTGTTCCTTTATCACATTTCTCCCTTCTTCCATAATTCATTTTTTTTTTTTTTTTGATGAACAAAAATACGCACTACCCTTAAGCTGTGATTCTGTATGGTAGCTTTTCCTCTTCCTCCATTCCACATTCTTTTAAGTTTTAAAACCTCTCCATTGTATCATAATCTTCCAGCTTTTTGCATTATCTTATACATTTTCTCAAGAAGTTCTTATCTCTAAAACTTTAAAGACACATCAACACTTCTCAATCATGGTACCTATATTGCCTTGCAGGTACAAATTGTGCTTATTTCTGTCAATGGGACAAACCTAGAGCATTCCCAACATTGCCTGATCTATGAAATTCAGTGAAGATCCAAAGTTGAAACATATTCTAGAAGAAACATATGAAAATAGTTAGCAAATTCTGGGATAAAAGAAATAATGTGGAATACATTTTCGTAAGATATAAAAGATACAAGATATAAAAGAGTACTAAAAAGGCTATAATAGTTAAAAAGAGGGTGTTAATATCAGAATGTACTGATGCCTGTTCTTTTAGCAAATATATATTGCCTACAATGTGTTAAGAACAGTTTTAGGTATGAATGACATAACTGAATAAATCAAAGATAAATCTTTACCTTCCTGGAATTTACTCTGATCAATAACTAAAGCATAGTATCTCAGATGTGAACAGGTGCTAAAGAAAAATTAAACTGGGTAGGAGATAGGGTGTGACAAGATCTGGGAAGGGAGTGTACAATTTTAAATAAAGGAACAGGGGAGGAACCCCTGAAACAGCACAAGTTGAGCAAACTTCTGTAGGAAATGAGGGAACTTGCAATGAGGAAAGCTTGAGAAAGGCATTCCAGGAGAGGGAGCAGCATGTTAAATGCCCTAGTGCAAGAAGGACCCTGGTGTATCCCCAGAAACAGGGAATTTACTGTGACTGGAGTGGAATGAACAAGGTGAAGAAGAGGAGGGAATGAGGTTAGAGAAACTACGGATGGTCAGTCCATATAGAACCAATTGGTGCTTTGTAAGAAAGATCACCATTGGATGATTAGGGCAGAGAGGAAATTTTATCAAACTCGTAATCTCATACTTGATCTACTGAATTAAGACTAGATTACAGGCAATTTTGAATGAGGATAGACGTGAAAAGAGTGTTTTAGTTTCCTAGTGCTGCTGTAACAAAAATACTACAAGTGGGTGGTTTTAAAGAACAGCAATTTATTGTCTTATAGTTCTGTAGGCTGGGAGTGGCTGAACTCAGGGCATAAATTGGGATATGATCTTTCCTCTTGAGGACAGGGTCAGATTACTTGAATTGTAGGATTCTCATGTGGTATCTCACTAGTCTCTCCATATGCCTATTTTCCCTTTTTACAAAACACCACTGAGAAGAGATTAGGCTTAGGACCTTCTCTGCTCTGGCATGATATAATTAACATAACAAAAGAATAACTATATCCAAACAAGGTCATTTTAACAGGTACAGGGTTTAGGACCTCAACATATCTCTTTTGGGGACACAATTCAATACATAGCAAAGAGTTAAGAGACTACATTCATGATCTGTCTGAGAGATGATGGTAGCATCAATCAGTGTGGTATTAGAAAAAAAAAAAAAAAAACCTCACTGCTGTTGAGTGGATTCTACTCATAGCGACCCCTCCTTAGGTTTCTGAGGCTGTATCTCTATGGAAATAGAGACCCTGCCTTGGGTTTCCAAGGCTGTATCTCTGTGGAAGTAGATTGTCCAGTCTTCCTTCTGAGGAGTAGCTGATGGGTTTGACCTGCCAGCCTTCTGGTTAGCAGTCAAATGCCTCAGGCACTCCCTCACCAGAGCTCCCCAGCGTTGTGTAGCTGGTGAAAAATCCTCAGATTCTATACACTTTGAAAGAATTAAAAAAAAAAAAAAAAAACCTTGTTGCTGTCAAGGTGATTCGACACATAGTGACCTCTCCTTAGGTTTCCAAGGCAGTAGATCGTCCAATTTTCCTTCTGAGGAGTGGTTGGTGGGTTTGAACCACCAGCTTACTAGTTAGCAGTCAAATGCCTCAGGCACTACACCACCAGAGCTCCTCTTTGAAAGTATGTTGTTGTTGTTATGTGCCGTGGAGTCGGACTCGACTCATAGCAAACCCTCCTTGGGTTTCCAAGGCAGTATCACTATGGAAGTATATTGCCCCATCTTCCTTCTAAGGAGTGGCTGGTGGGTTTGAACCTCCAGCCTTCTGGTTAGCAGTCAAGTGCCTTAGGCACTATGCTACCAGAGTTTCAATAGAAATTGAGATGGGGGAAATAAAGAAATCAAGGCTTACTCCAAGATTTTGAAAGAATACAGTTGCCAATGAAGTTGAGAAAAACTGTTGGAGGACCAGTTTGGAGGGGAAAGAAGATCACTTTTGAAAATATTACATTTGAGGTTCCTGGCTGCCATCTAAAAAATAAATTAAAATTAAAATTAAATAAACTGATGATTATTTCTAAGTTTTGAAATTCATGATGCTTTTTTGTTATAATTCATTTTATATTTGTTGCAGTTCTTGAGAATATGTACAGCAGAACAAACAAAAGTCTACCAATTTCTACATCTACACTTTGGTGACATTGATTACATTCATTGCATCATGTAACCACCCTCACCCTCCTTTTCTGAGTTGTTCCTTCCCCTGTAACATAAACTCACTGCCTCCTGAGTTTCCTATCTAATCTAATCTTTGACTAATTTGGTCTCACATACATTTGGTCCCACACTGCTCAAGAAAGACATTCTTTACTAGTTAAGCTAAGCTATTGCTTGGTTTTAAGAAGACTTCAAGGAATATTTTTGGTTTAAGGTTTGAAGAAGATCTCCGGGAACAGTTTCAGGGGTTCATCACCCCTCCATGGCTCCAGAAAGTCTGGATTCTGTGAGAATTTAAAATTCTGTTCTGTATCTTCTCTTTGTTGGTAAGATTCTTCTATAGAATCTTTGATCAAAATGTTTGGAAATGGTAACCAGGCACCATCCAGTGTTTCTGGTATCATGGAAAAAGAGGCAGTTATTCATGGGGCAACTAGTCACACATTCCATTTCCTCCTTCTGTTCCTGATTCTCCTTCTTCCTCTGTTGCTCCAGGCAAACAGAGTTCATTTACTTTGCTTTGGGTGGCTGCTTGCAAGCTTTTAATACCCAGGTACT